TTTCAAATCTCAGGAAGGTGACCAGCAATAATCCAATAAACAGGAACAAAAGTACCTCTGACATTAGAAACATTATAAACATTATAAATAATGAACCCAAAGGTTATACATTCCTTTAGACAAGAAACTCCAAAACTCCAATGACTTTTTTTTATACCTTGCACTGGTTGAATATCAACTGTTTTTGAAAATATCATTAGTTTTAATAGGAAATAACTATAATATTTGATAGTATTTAAGTGTCCTATCATTCTCCTTTTACCACTGAAGTCTTTTGCAAAATTGCTGGAAACACCACTGGGAGCAGGATTAGATCTTAAATGGCACTGGCCAGGTAAAAATTACTGTGAAATTTTTCACATGCAGCCAACATACACAGTATTTGATTTTGAAAGAATGTGGCTGGTTTTGACTTCATATGTGTGTGAATTTCACTGGCTCGTGTGCATTTCATATGTCATAGCTCCAGCTGTTCTGTGAGCAAAAGCATATATCAGATTCTTATAAATTAAGATAAATATCTGGATATTCATGGAAGAAATATCACCTATTTTGCCATGCAACTCTGCTTAAAACTAAGGTGAAATGCAAGGGTAGAACTACTCATTCAAGGGTCAAGGTTTTATTGAAGATGGTACTGTCAGCCACTAAAGGTTTAAAGGTTCCATGTGGGTGATTCAACTTACATGAAAATAGCATTAAAAATAAAAAAAAAGGACAAAAGACTGATACAGCTGGCTGTGATACAGTAGCTATGACTTGACAAAATTAAAGATCAAAGTGTTTGCACAACCCCAATGTAAAGGTTCCGTGTAATGAAGTATTAAGTTATATACCCTTTGCTGTTTCTCCTCAAGGACTGTATTGCCAAATTGAAGAAGCAGGTTTACAAGGAGAAAGGTCTAGCTGGTGGCTGACCAGCTGCAATGTTTGTTACGCTGTTTCCTTTTTCATTTTAAGCAAGCTGTGTGTAATTTTCATTTTAAGCTTCGCTATTGAGTTGTATTGCTTGCTTTTACATAAAGAGCAAAACCACAGTTCCCATGACAATTTAAAATCCATTTCTTAAATTAAGGCAGAGTCCTGTATTGAACTTAACTGACGTTTCATAAGTGACTTCTTCTAATTTGTTGTTTTTCTGTTGTCCTACTATCAGAAACTGGTAATATGCTTGACATTCAAGGTAAAATAAAATTTTTTAAAGAATAGGTGGTAGTTTGATGAGCAATTGCGAGAGTCGCCTTTCTTCTGTGTTGCAGAGAAGAGTGATGTCTGTAATACATGGAGGGGGTGGTTCCATCTGGCAGCTGTGCTTTTTCTCTCCAGTGTCTTTCCATTTTTTCTGGAGAAATCATTGTCCCTTGGAGCAGCACCTTTCTGCTGGGTCCCTGGTACCTGTAGGGCAGGGCAGGGAGTGCCAAAGCGGCCAACTGCACTATGCCTGGTGACTGCAGCCTGCCCAGAGCCGGGACCCATGGAAGGGTGCTTGCAGTGAGTAGCTTAGCCAGGCCACAGACCTAGTTAGAGTGGAGTGCAATCATTAGCATCTCATAAAATCTAGTCTAAAAACCTCCAAAAGGATTTGTGAAAGCAACTGACATGGACCTGAGAAATTAGGCTGTGCATGAAGTTTTCTCACCAAACAAGTGATTCTCAGTACACAATATAAGACTGCTCTTGTGTGCAACCATTGATTGAATTTTTGGAAAACAGAACTTACAAACTTATTAATTTGTTGTCTTCAATCTCACACTGTTTATTTTTTAAAAACTGGAAGTGAAACATTGCTAAGTCAGGAAGGAATCAGGATCCCAGCATATTTGTAGAACTTCCGAGCTGTCCACACTGCATGCTAATTTAAATCCACATTTAAGATGCATTTTTCAGTAAGATTGTGTGGTAGTGGGAATGGTGCGTCTGAGAGGAAGCAAAACCAAAAACAAAAAGTCAGGAGGACCCCTGACTGCAGTGAATACAAACAGAAAACCAGAATTCCTTACTTGTAGAAAAAACTTCTGATTTTCAACCAGTTTGATTGGTAGCTTTGGGTATGATTTTATTTGATCAAATTAACACAAATTGATCAAGTGTCCATATTAAAAGTAGTCTGATTGTCATCCCATTAGTCCTATTGGAGGGTTGTTTTTGAATGGCTGACTGAGGATCTATGTGTAATTTCCAGTCTGCGTCTATTAATTGTCCCTTTCTTGTTGTTTTTTATGTGTCTGGCCAATTTTTATGTGAGCTCAGCTTTTGCTTTTCTGTCTGCATTTCTGCACACCCTGGCAGTGCCCTTGTAGTTCTCACAGGTTTTTGTCTGCTTTTCCAACTCTGGGATGCTTCTCTTTTGAGCTCACTTAGCAGCTCACGGTTAAGCCAAGGTGGTCTCTTACTCTGCCTACTTCCCTACCTTCAAAAGTGGATGAACTGTTTTTGTTCTTCCAGGAAGAGAGTTTAGAAAAGCTCCCAGCACTCACTAGCTCCCTCATGGAAGCTTTCCATGAAATCCCTCACAATTTAGCCCTGAGAGAGCTGATATTTGCTCTTCTAAACTTTAAAGTGTTTATTCTAATACTAATCTTCAGCATGGTCAGCAGGATCCCAAATTCTATGGTATTATGATCCCTGCATCCAAAGCTATCCCTAACTGAGATACTACAAAGCAAACTTCCTTGTTTTGTGAGCAGCAGGGCCAGCAGTGCTTTGTTGCTGGTTGCACATCTCACATTTGTACAAGGAGGCATTCCTGTACGCATTCCAGAAATCTGGTGGGTAACCTGAGCTGCTGTATTGTTCTTTCAATGAACGTGTGGGGTAGTTGAAGTCACACATAAGAACCAGGTTCTATGACCCAAAGATACTTTTCCATTGGTCTTACTGTCTTGATTTGGAGGTCGGTAGCAGATCCCCCTTGGAGATGACCCCTCTGATCTTGACCAGGAATTATTGTGAGGCACTGGATTATTATATTGATTATTGGCTTGGACCAACTTGTGTGTGGGGGGAGGGAGATAGGGACAACTCAGATTTCACAAAGGTGAAGTGATGCCCTGCCCTGTACCCCAGACCCTGTGAGCCTCACAGGGAAACCCCGGAGAAGCTGTCAGGCAAAAACAACCTGGAGGTACCGCCCTGTTCCACACCTCGGAGCCCCCAACCCAGTATGGTATAAACTGGAGTACTATCAGATTAATAATCCACAGGAGAGAGACTCTTATTTATGATTGATGCAAACTATATAAGGTTCTTTCAGATGTTGATCTGCAGTCAGAAGCTGTGAATTAAAAAAAAATCACAGTGAAACGTCACCATCTATCTATCAGATATTTTCTAGAAACCATTACTAGAAACCCTGTTAACTGACATTTGCTTGCTCTCTTGATGATAGACTTTAAAACTGGTCTTGGGCTAATTTTTAATCAGAGGGTAAGATGCATAAAAAATTTCTGGACTTTTTTATTAGTATCTTGTTGTGTGGCTTTTAGTTAAGAAATATACTTCCTGGTGGGTCTAGTGCCTCTTGGTGTCAGTAGAGGAGCTTTCATCCACTACGCTAAATTTTTAATATAACTTCAACTCATAATTGATTTAACATTTACCACTTTACTATGCTCATTGATTGCTATTGTCTCTCAGATACTGAGGCATACACTTGGACATAAAGATGCAGAATTGCAAAGTGTTACTGTGGGAACTGGATTTCTTAATGAAAGCTTAGTGCTTTATGGATCTCAGCAATTTTCACCTCTGAGAATCATGATCTTCTTAGAGAAGTTTGGAGTAAATACATGTGGAGTGATGTGTCGCTCTCTCTATATGTGTGTATAATATATATATGATTTAGTAAAAGACCAGATGTCACAGATGGTTTCCACATGTGCAGATTTATTTCGTGAAGTAGATATGTATGTATATTGTGTGCATATATGTATATATATGGTTCTCTGAAAGATATCTTAGTCATCCAAATGAAAATAGAAAGGAAATGAATAAAATCACAGAATCATAGAATGGCTTGAGTTGGAAGGGACCTTAAAGATCATCTGGTTCCAACCTCCTGCCGTGGTCAGGGACATCTCCTTCCAGTAGAGCAGGTTGCTCAGAGCTCCATGTAGCCTGTTCTTGAACACTTCCAGAGATGGGGCATTCACAATTTCTCTAGTCAACCTGTGCCAGTGCTTCACCACTCTCACAGCAAACAATTTCATCCTAATATCTAATCTAAGCCTACTGCTTTCAATTTGAAACCATTCCCCCTTGTCCTGTTACTAGCCTCTCTCTATCTTACAGAGTCCCTTCAGATATTCGAAGGTTTTAATTAGGTCACCTCAAAGCCTTCTCTTTTCCAGGCTGAACCATCCCAGTTCTCTCAGTTTTTCCATCTAGGAGAGGTGCTCCATCCCACTAATCATCTTGGTCACCCTCCTCTAGACTCACTCCAACAGGTCCTTCTTGTGCTGGGGACCCCAGAGCTGGATGCAGCACTCCAGGTGGGGTCTCCACTCTACTCGAGGGTGGAGGGGACAGAATCACCTCCCTCGACCTGATGTCCATGCTGCTTTTGATGCAGCCCAGGATACAATTGGCTTTCTGGGCTTCAAGTGCACATTGCTGGTCATGTCCAGCCTCTCATCCACCAGCACCATCAAGTCCTTTTTGGCAGGGCTGGTCTTGATCTGTCCATCCCCTGGCCTGTATTGCCATAGGAAGTTGTCCTGACCCAGGTGCAGGACCTTGCACTTATCCTTTTAAACCTTATGAGTGTCCCATGGGCCTGCTTCTAAGAGCTTGTCCAGGTCCCTCTGGATGGCATCCCATACTTCTGGACTGTGTGGTCTAGTC